AGAACGTTCTTTCTTCATTATGAATATACGATTTTCTATTATAATATTCAACGTATATTTATATAATATTCGATCCGAATATTCCAAAGTTAAGAACATTTGCACTTTATAAGAATATACATAGAACATTGTGTGCTATCTGGGTAGGATCAAAATAGGATATCCACAGAATATCTGTTTCGTCCGTATAGTATGTCCTTTAGATTTCCAGAGAACGTCTATGTGCTATTTGGGTACAATCTGAATAAGAAACAAAAAACTTAAGGAGGACGAAATTTGAGCCCCTTATCCTACATTTTATTTGCTTAATGTCAATCTAATAGTAAATGTAAAGAATGTTAATGTTATCATATCTTTAACTAACTTTAAATAAAAAATAAATAAAAATAAAAAAAAAAATTAATCTCACGTCTTAGACGTAAGTAAACTTTTATGTGTCTCAAAATTAAATTTAAAAAATGTTAAATTTTATTGTAAATTTTAAAGAAAGGGTTTAATATGTTTAGAAAAGACTTATATATATATAATATATAATATTTGGAGATGTTTTTCAGGTTTGAACCGCGTTAGTGTCATTTTTATACCGAGGTTTCGTAAAAATTTTAGATCACTTTATCAGGTGAAGTGAAATTTTCACGAAACGTCGGTATAAAAATGACACTAATGCGGTTCAAACCCGAAGAACATCTTCGAATGTTAATACAACACACCGCGAAAGCATTAAATATCAAATATTTAATAATTTCTTATAAATTATAAAATAAATATCATTACTTACTCTGAATTTAAGTGGCGTTCGGAACATCCACTTGTGTACATTTTATTTTTATCAGTCATTATATGAAACAAATAAAATCACGCTCGTGTGCACACTAGTAGTTATTTCAAACGCAGTCTTACTCTATATATTTTTCGAATAAACTCAAAAGTGCAGGTAAAATCCGAAACATGAAAGATTGATAATGCGTTTACTTTTGTGTCTGTTTGTGCAGGCATAAACTAAGCCTGCACACACATCTTATTTATATACTTTACTTAAAATTAAGTTTAATTTACAAGTCATTTCCTATATCAAATAAATAAAAATGATAAAATTAAAATAATCTTAAGTGGCAAAGGTAATGTGCCAAAGTCTCGTCTCTCTTCTTGTCATCTTAATATATTATATATTTGTAAGTCCTATATACTACTGCTAAACAATCGCGGATACACTTCGTTAGGGTATGTACTTACTTAAGGAGTATGTGTGCATAATACTTTTGTGATATAAACACACTCTTATAATTGTGCGCTTAAGGATTAATAGGCACCTAAACTTATTTTATTGCCTGCAATACTTTGTAATTATAATATTTTCGACAACAGTTATTATAATTATAGACATAAAGCTTATAGACTCGCAAGACACACATTTGCTTTATGAATCTATAAGCAATTAATATCACTAACGACAATACTTGACAACTATTTCGTTGATAAATAATTGCCTCAAACATATTTGTATATATTTAATAGATATATTAATCAATCATTATTCGATGTTGATGAATTACTGCCACTAATAGCGAAAACTACATGTTAACACAAAAAGTTTTTTCTACAAAATCTTTACTTTTACTAAAAATATGTGCAATGCACAGAATGACATTTGTTCAATTTAAGACAAAACTATGACTTAGTTGCTTGAAAATTATCCGTATAACATAAATTTATAGTGTTTATATGTATTAAATTGTATTTATATATACTTAAACTAATTATGTATAAGTCGAAAAAACAAAAAAAAACGATATATTTATGTACAACCAAATATAATAGAATATATTTTATCTCTATGCATTAGACCAATTTCTCATTTACGTCATAATTTCTCATTTTTTGTAAGTAGATTTTCTAACAAGAAAGATACTTAATATATAGTATGTTGTGTTTAGAGTTTTACATATATGTAGAAAGAGAGTCGCTGAATGGCAGTAGAAAATAAACAAAATAATACACCATTGCATATTTTTTTCAAGCACCCGCAAAACCATACACCTCTAATACTCTGATTTCAAAATCACCGCTGGCGCAGAGAGGTGGATTATTAAATGTTGAACACCGATCCGTTTTGCCAAATCTTATATTCTCATCCATCCAGATTGCCTGCCCATCTCTGAAAATAAGAAACAAATAAAACACCGTAAAACTAACATTGTAGTAACATTGCAAAAATATAAAATACTATTATTCAAACATTATAAAACTATTGTGCTGATAAAAAATGTTTCTTTAACTAAGAATAAAGCAGGTAGTTGAAATAAAGGTCAATAACGAGCGATGAAGGTATTGATGCAGTGTATTTCTTGAAAATTACAAATTTGCGAAACGTTTTGGCATCTAGAGTCCTCTTCAGTCGCGACAAAAAATTGATTTGGGTAATTATTTAGAAAGCGGACTTTCTCACCGATTTCAATGAGTTTGAAATATGTTGTTAAGAACGTTATTCTGAACAACTTTTCCCTATACATGTTACAGCCGGTCGGCTTTAGTTTTCGAGTTATAAACAAAAGAAGTTTCATAATTGAATACTAATTAAAATCTAATTTCCTACATTTCTTGTTTGACAACTTTTCCCATAACGTGATTACTTTCAGAGATAATCGTAATAATCGTAATAAACCTTCTTTTGTTTATAACTCGAAAATGAAAGCCGACCGGCGGTAACATGTATAGGAAAAAGTTGTTCAGAATAACGTCCTTAACAAAATATTTCGATCTCATTGAAATCGGTGAGGAAGTCCGCTTTCTAAATAATTACGATAAAAATAAATACCTTAATACATCGAAAGCCACAACGTGTACAGAAATCAATTTAAATAAAGCCAAGAAAGGCACGCACAGTACAAAGGTATCTTACATATTGAGTGTCACCATTCAAATAGTTGTGACAAGCCAAAAGAGGAACAAACATACCCAGCAAACAATTTGGTTGCGAGATGTCGCGGTTTTGTTGCCAACCGCCGGCGAAATTTGTAGACCAAATCTATATCTATCTGTCTTCTCATTAGGATATGGTTTGGCGACCATATCTGTCAAACATGTGAGATGTCAAAATGAGACCAAAATCATAACAAGTCTGCCACTAGCAAAGCAAAGCCAAAGTGACGCACCAAATCCAGAACAGATTTGGTGATCGTTTGTTGTCGTCAAAATCGCGCCAAATACACATATCTGTTACCAAAACTGTCAACAAAACAGTAGCAAATACAGACTAAATCTGCCGTTAGAAGCGCCGACAGATTGTTACCAAACGCAGATCAGATCTGTCCCTTAGAATCCAAGTGGAATTACTACAAAAAAAAAAAAAGAAAATCAGTGGTATATCGCCTTATCGGAAGAGAATTAAGTCGAGATTTCACTCGAATTAATTTCTAGAAGCCTGATTCAGCTTGCTGATCAACCGATGAACTGCATTGAAAGAAACCGAACCTGAAAAAATCCTAAATGTGATAGCAGGATTTAAACTCGAGATCTCCATATTAGCAGCTTCTGCACTCAGTCCACGAGACCACTTGTGTTCCTTACTAAGATATAATTATTTTTATCTACTTATTCTCAAGCTATCCTACATTTCATTTATTATTTAAAATGTTATTTTACTAAAAATGTTGCAATGCAATGTACCTGCAACAATAAATAAAATTACTGTTCTTATTATTCTTAAATATAATTTAAAGTACATTTTTACAATGCGAATAAATGTTTTGTTAATATATGTTGATACTTGAATGAACAAAGTGTTTTTAAATGGAATTTTGGTCACTAAAAAAAAAATTTCGAATTCGGCGGCGAAATTGACTTACCACGTCAAATTTCCGAGAAAATTAAAGTTAAATGTATAACATACTGTCTATTAGCGTGAGAAAGAGCATATCAGTGTATCTCATTCGCACTAGTGGACATTGTGTTGTCGACTGTACGTAGCTGGAAAGCATTCATTGTTTCATATTACTCAATAAATATGAGAATAATACATTACATTTATGATTGCTTTATTGCCGAATGCATATAAACAGAAGTATTAAAATCTTACAGTTGAACTTTACCGGTTTCGGCATAAAATAACAGTTATTGGCCGCATAAACAAGGTCAAACTGTAAAAGACTGTTCAATGTTTGTTAACAATCTGTTATCAACACAGGCGACAGATATGATCGCAGATAATCGCCATTTTGATGTCTAGATGTCAAACAGACAGTNTAGTAGTCTTGCGTGCAAACAGTCCGCACGAACAGATCTGCTTGGCGTTTGCTGGCAATCTGTCGTCAATGCGGTCAACAGATCGACCCGACTGCGGTTACCGTTTTGTCATAAACAGATGCTCGTACGTTCTGCGGACTGTTTGGTCACAGTATTGCTAAAAGCAGATCTGCTTGCTATCGACCATCTATTTGTTGTCACTTTCACTAACATATATGGAATCATTTTGGCCGCAATACTCTCATGTATTTGCCAACAGAGTTATTGCGTTTTTTGTCTCTATGTGCTAACAGTTTTGGCAGCACCAAAGCATGTTTCCGTATTGTAGCGTTTCTGCACACAGTTTCTGTTGCCAAGGTCTGCGCAGTCAGAAAGTGTTTGCTGGATATACAGATAAATCCTTTTACGAACTGTGGTAAGAGAGGGGAAAGGAAACGATGGATTTAAACTTTAGAATTTTTTATTTTATTTATTTATTAATAGAAAGGAATAAGAACCATCCAGTAAATTTGTGTCATTAACTAAATTAAGACCGAGAGATTATTCTTTTATATGAATTGTTTCTGATATCAATCTTTTATACAAAATATTTCCTTATCTAGAATCCTAACATTATTCCAATCAAAGGAATGATTAAAATCTAATTTGTGTTTTGAGACACTTGAGAGTGTCGTAGTATTATTTATGTATTGCTGTGTTCTTTTACTCTTGTCTTTAATTGTCTTTTGGTCTGTCCTACATAAGAAGTTCAACAATTATTATACTTAACTTTATAAACAACACCAGTACCTGAATAACGAGAAGTGTTATCCTTTTGAACTTTAATAAATTTGCTGAGTTTATGTAGACATTTATAACCAGTCATGATGTTAGAACCTTTAAAAGCTTTCCCAATAAATTCAGAAAGATCTTTAATGTAAGGAAAAACGACAACCTTTTTATCATCAACACTCTGAGTATTTGAGGTATTATTAGATAACTTAGACGAAATAAGTTTCTTTATTCTGTGATTAATACTGTTAAAAATTAAAGTAAGTACATAGCCGTTATTTAATAATATGTAAATAATTAAAATAATATTTTTCGTATGAAAGTCAAGATAGAAGAATAAAAAGGCTCTGTCAGTGAGACTATAAATCGTTCTGATTTTATGATATAAAGGATGGTGTGAGAGAAAAGACAGATATATTCCTAAAGTTTTCTTACAGAATCAATCAAGTTTTAAAAACAATCAGAAGTATCGACATACATGTCTAAGAAATTAATTTTATGGTTTGATTCCGTCTCTAATGTAAACTTTAGTCTCTCATGATAGGAGTTGAAAATGTTGACAATGTTATCAACAATGTTTAAGAGAGCCGCCAATAGCATGTCGTCAACATATCTACAGTAAAGAGGCAAAACAGTGTTTATCTAACCAAAGCCTTGTTCTCAATGTCTTGTAAAACAATGTCAGCAATTATAGATGATAATAGTGACCCCGTTGGGATACCAAATGTCTGTTTATAAATCGTATGGTGAAAAGTAAAATATGTAGAGGAAAGAATAAAATTCATAGCAATTACCCAGTAAACAATTTCTGACTGCGCAGACCTTGGCAACAGAAACTGTGTGCAGAAATACTACAATACGGAAACATGCTTTGGTGCTGCCAAAACTGTTAGCACATAGAGACAAAAAACGCAATAACTCTGTTAGCAAATCATAAATTTTTTTATGCAAAACAATGCACTTTTATAACATGCAATAAATAAATAAAAAACGTATTACTTACATTTAGATTATATTGTAGATTGGGTAATTATGCAGTTATACGGACTATTTTCCGATCTCAACAATTTTGACATATGTTATCAAGGTCACCTCCCTGAATAATAATATGAAGGTTTTATCCGTCGCTCATTGTTTATAAAAAACTTATGAACAAAAAAAGTTTCATGAATAAACTAT